CGCCCGGCACCCGGGCCGCCCCGGGGCAGCCGGGGGCTCCCCCTACCCCCCAGCCAAGGAGGACTGGCATTCCTACGGGACCGCCGCCGCACCTTCCACCGCCAGCCCGGGGCAGTTCGGGTTCAGCCCCCCAGATTTTAACTCCATCCAGCCGCCAGGCTCGGGACTCCTGCCTCCCCCCATCAGCAGCTCTGTCCCCCAGCTCTCCCCGAACGCCCAGAGACGGACCCCGTACGACTGGATGAGGCGCAGCATTCCCAGCACCAGCAGCAGCGGTAAGGAAACCCCCCACAGAGGATTCCCGGGCTGGAAAACCTGCGGGGCCGGATCCTGTTCCCGGCCAGGGCACTGCTAGGAGGGACAACACGCTTGGCCTTCCCGGTCCCCAAAGAGCAAGGGGACCCCACGGCCGAGGTGGCGGGGGCAGAGGATGGGCAGGGAGGGTGCTGGTGTTCCCAGCAGCTGGGCTTGTATGGCTGGAAGGTCCTTTTTCCCGGCTGGGCTCTGCCCCTGCACCCCTGCTTTCTCCTGCCACCGCTGGGCACGACAGGCAGAGCCAGAGACCCCCGGGCGCTGCCACCCCGAGGGGTGTCTTGTGTGTGCGGGGCTGCAGCCACGAGCTGCGTGTGCAGCTGCGTGGGAGACACTGGCTGTGGGGTGCACGTGTGTGTGCAAGGTGCCGTCTGCTGCCTTGCGTGTGGGGAGGGTGTGTGTGTGTGCAGGGAAGGAGCCGTGTACGTCTGTGTGAGGAGGGAAGCAGCTGCGTGTGCTGTGTGTGTGTGTGTGTGTGTGCAGTGTCCATTGAGTGCGTGTGAGGCACCGTGTGAGTGTGCAAGGTACCCTCAGCAGTACGTGTGTATGGGGCTTGCTGTATGGACGGTGTCAGTGAGTGCGTGCAGGGTGTGCTGTGTAGGTGACGTGGGCGTGCAAGGTGCTGCATGTGCGGGATGGTGCAAGGTGGTGTGTGTGTGTGTGTGTGCAGGGTGTGCAAGGTGCAGCATCCGCATGTGCACGGGTGCTGTGTGCGAGGTGCAATGCGCGTGCACGGTGAGTGTGCAAGGTGTGGTGCCATGGGGAGGGTGCCTGTGGGTGCCCCATGTGCAGCACACGTGTGTGCCGTGCACTGGGTGAGCAGGTGCCCCCAGACCCGTGCGTACCCCCGGCTGACTCGGGGTCCTGTCCTCCCGTCCCAGCGTCCCCGAGGTCTTGTC